GAAGCTTATAGTTTGAATTTCTAATAGGATGTCAGCTTATAAAGTTTGCCTCAGCTGCTGAATCCTAAAGGAAACAGCGCCTTCAGAAAACATTCATCAGACAATAAGATTTGTGGTTTTAAATTAAAAAAACTAAATAGGAGTTGATCATTTAGCCTTAATAATTTACATCCTCAGGGACGGGCAGATGGATCAGAACAGAGCTTTCATTAGAGTCACGTCTTTAGTAGTGCTCTATTGTGCTCCGACTGTAAGCTGCCAATCGTTCTGTTTTAAGTGAAAGAAATTAATTGAACTGCAGGTTAAGCCTGAAAATACCACAATGCACTGAGTCGTTGTTAATAAAGGTGGATCCAGCAGGCCACATGCTGGCGCCTGATCGCTGTTTGGCCTATTAGCAGATTTCACAACCCATTTATACAGAGTTTTTTATTTTAAATGAAGCTGAAAAGAGCTGATATCTTCCACGTAATGGATCTGATCGAAAATGTGTTCTAAGCAGCTTTGTGGTTGACACAGTCTTCCCAGGTGATAAAAAACCACGTTTCTGTTTCTTCGTGGCTCAGTGCAAACAATCGGTCACAGAAAATAAAATAAACTACCTGTTTGCATGCTGTCAATGATGAAAAGCCGTGATTATTTGCTCAAGGAGGAAAATTTGGGCATGCACCAAGTGGAGTCGTACTTTTAAATCACATGTAAAACTAATGAGACATTTGTGAAAAATAATCAGTGTGACGACTACATTAGTGCATGTATACCCTCCTTATCATCCTCTGCCATTTTTTATAAGGTGTGTCATATTATGCATCACCAAATTGCCACCCATTTGTCACAGATTTAAAGGGAGGCTCAACATGCCTAATTTGACTGCAGGGGAAGCGAGCGCTTGGAAGAAACAAAGGGCTTAGCATGAAGTCTGTGTGTGTAAGCCGGCCGAAAATGGCTGCACATGACACCCCCTCAATAGAGATTTATCCATCCATCCATTTTCAGCCGCATATCCGGAGTCGGGTCGCGGGGGCAGTAGCCTAAGGTGAGAGGCCCAGATTTCCCTCTCCCCAGCCACTTGGGCCAGCTCCTTCAGGGGAATCCCAAGGCATTCCCTGGCCAGGTGAGAGACATAGTCCCTCCACCGTGTCCTGGGTCTCCATTTAGGCCTCCTCCCGGTTGGACGTGCCCAGAAATCCTCACCAGGAAGGCATCCAGGAGGCATCCTGACCAGATGTCCGAGCCACCTAAACTTGCTCCTCTTGATGTGGAGGAGCAGCGGGTCTACTCCGAGCCCCTCCTGAATGACCAAACTTCTCACCCTATCTCTAAGTGAGAGCCCAGCCACTCTTCAGAGAAAACTCATTTCGGCCGCTTGTATCCGCGATCTCATTCTTTCGGTCACTAACCAAAGCTCATGACCATAGGTGAGGGTAGGAACGTAGATTGACCGGTAAATCGAGAGCTTCGCCTTCTGACTCAGCTCTCTCTTCACCACGACAGACCGGTACAACGCAGCACCAATCCGCCCATCGATCTCACGCTCCAGTTTTCCCTCACTCGTGAACAAGACCCCGAGATACTTAAACTCCTCCACTTGGGGCAGGACCTCATCCCTGACCCGGAGAAGACATTCTACCCTTTTCCGAATCAAGACCATGGTCTCAGATTTAGAGGAGCCGATTCTCATCCCAGCTGCTTCACACTCTGCTGCGAACCACTCCAGCGAAAGCTGAAGATCACATTCTGATGAAGCCAACAGGACCACATCATCTGCAAAAAGCAGAGACCTGATCCTCAGGCCACCAAAACGGATGCCCTCCACACCTTGGCTGCGCCTAGAAATCCTGTCCATAATGGTTATGAACAGAATCGGTGACAAAGGGCAGCCTTGGCGGAGTCCAGCTCTCACTGGGAACGAGCCAGACTTATTGCCGGCAATGCGGACCAAGCTCTGATACCGGTGATACAGGGACCTAACAGCCCGTATCAGAGGGCCTGGTACTCCATACTCCCGGAGTATCCCCCACAGGGCTCCCCGAGGGATGCGATCAAACGCCTTCTCCAAATCCACAAAACACATGTAGACTGGTTGGGCAAATTCTCACGCACCCTCCAGGACCCCCCTAATGGTGTACAACTGGTTCAGTGTTCCACAGCCAGGACGAAAACCACATTGCTCCTCCTGAATCTAAGGTTCAACAATCCGATGGACCCTCCTCTCCAGAACCCCTGAATGGACCTTACCAGGAAGGCTCAGGAGTGTTATCCCCCTGTAGTTGGAACACACCCTTCGGTCCCCCTTTTTAAATAAGGGGACCACCACCTCGGTCTGCCAGTCCTGTGGGACTGCCCCCGATGTCCACGTGATATTGCAGAGCCGCGTCAGCCAACACAGCCCCACAACATCCAGAGCCTTAAGGAACTCCAGGCGGATCTCATCCACCCCTGGAGCCTTCCACAGAGGAGCTTTTAACCACCTCAGTGACCTCAGCACCAGAGATTTGAGAGCCCAACCCAAAGTCCCCAGACTCTGCTTTCTCACTGGACGACATTTTTCATTTCTCTGTATGTCTTGCACATGTGGTAGAATTGACAATAAAACTGACTTTGACTTTGGTGGGATTGAGGAGGTCTTCAAAGTATTCTGCCCACCGATCCACAACGTCCTGAGTAGAGGTCGGCAGCACACCGTCAATCACTATAGATAGTGTTGGTAGTGCACTGCTTTGCCCCCCTGAGTTGCCGGATGGTGGACCAGAATCTCCTCGAAGCTGTACGGAAGTCTTGCTCCATGGTCTCACCGAACTCCTCCCATGCCCGGGTTTTTGCCTTGGCGACCACCCGAGCCACGTTCCGCTTGGACTGCTGGTACCCGTCAGCTGCCTCTGGAGTCCCACAGGCCAAAAATACCTGATAGGACTCTTTCTTCAGCTTGACAGCATCCCTAACCACCGGTGTCCACCAGCGGGTTCGGGGGTTGCCACCACGACAGGCACCGACGATCCTGTGACCACAGCTCCGGTCGGCCACCTCAACAATGGAGGCATGGAACAGGGTCCATTCAGACTCAATGTCCCCCGCCTCCCCCGGAACATTTTGGAAGTTCTGTCGGAGGTGGGAATTGAAGCTCCTTCTGACAGGAGACTCTGCCAGATGTTCCCAGCAGACCCTCGTGATACGTTTGGGCCTGTCTGGTCTGACCGGCATCCTCCCCCACCATATGAGCCAACTCACCACCAGGTAGTGGTCAGTTGACAGCTCCGTCCCTCTCTTCACCCGAGTGTCCAAGACATGCGGCCGCAGGTCAGATGAAACAACAACAAAGTCAATCATCGAACTGCGGTCTAAGGTATCCTGGTGCCAAGAGCACATATGGACACCTTTATGTCTGAACATGGTGTTCATTATGGACAATCCATGACTGGCACAGAAGTCCAATAACAAAACACCACTCAAATTCAGATCGGGGGGGCCGTTCCTCCGAACCACACCTCTCCAGGTCTCACTGTCGTTGCCCACGTGAGCGTTAAAGTCCCCCAGCAGAATGAGGGAGTCACCGGATGGAGCGCTTTCCAGCACCCCCTCCAAGGTCTCCAAAACGGGTGGGTAGCCTGAACTGTAGTTTGGTGCATAAGCACAGACCACAGTCAGAACCCGTACCCCCACACGTAGGCGGAGGGAGGCTACCCTCTCATTCACTGGGGTAAACCCAACACACAGGCACCAAGATGGTGGGCAACTAGTATGCCCACCCCTGCTCGGCACCTCTCAGTGGGAGCAACTCCAGAGCGGTAGAAAGTCCAACCCCTCTCAAGGAAACCGGTTCCAGAGCCAGAGCCATGCGATGAGGTGAGTCCGACTATATCTAGTTGGAACTTCTCAACCTCACACACCAATTCAGGCTCCTTCCCCACCAGAGAGGTGACATTCCATGTGCCAAGAGCCAGCTTCTGTAGCCGAGGATCAGACCGCCAAGGTCCCCGCCCTCGACTACCACCCGTCACACACCGCACCCGACCCCTTTGGCCCCTCCCACGAGTGGTGAGCCCATGGGAAGGGGGACCCATGTTTCCTCTTCGGGCTGTGCCCGGCCAGGCTCCATGGGTGAAAGCCCAGCCACCAGGCGCTCACCAACATGCCCCACCTCCAGGCCTGGCTCCAGAGGGGGGCCCCGGTGACCTACGTCCGGACGAGGGAACACGGTTTCCATTTATATAACTCATCATAAGAGGTCTTTGGGCTCAATAGAGATTTATTTAAAACAATTCAATTTCCCAACGGAACACAAATCTAATTATTTTAGGAGGCGGGAAAGAAGCGAGCAAAGATGGTGCATTCTCACAGACGAGTGGAAATATTTTTGACTTGTAGTGTGTAACTTGGCTGACAAGGAAAGGGGCTATTTTTAGCTGCATGTTTATGTAAGTGACTAACATGTTGTGGAATAATGAGGAGACTCTCAGGGCCCTCAGCGGAGCTGCGGAGACGAGACTCTCAGAGTGGCGATTGAAGAAAGCTAATGAGCACGAGGAAGGGGAGAACAGGGGAGCGAGATAATAAAAGCATGGAGATGCAAAAGGAGATTTGACAATGAGAGGTAGGAGTGAAAGTCTAAAAATAGAAATTGGTAAAGGAAAATGATGCTCATGCACAAGGGAGCCAAGAAAATAAAAATAAATTTAATTGGTTAGAAATTGTGCCACTAAAAGCATAATAAAAGTACCAGTGAGCATCTCACTCGTGTGATTTATGAGCTCATTACAACTCTTCAGCTAACAACCAAAATGTTTTATCTCTTTTACTCGTCTCACCAGTACTCCAGAGTTTTTACATTTAGCCTCTCAGCCTGCAGAGTGGTGAACACTATTCTCCTGCGCATTAACTAAAATAGTCATTCTGCATAATTTCTTTATTCTGTTTCAACTGCACCCTATTTCATCTCTCTCTCTCTCTCTCACACACACACACTCACACACACACAGGCCCTCTCATACGTCATCTGGTACCTCTTCTCGGGTGGGGGCTCTTGGTTGGCTGGTGGCGCTGCCTGCGCCGTTTCGTGCAGGTCAGGGATGTTGGCAAAGTCATCTTGCTCTGCCACACCAATGGTCAAAGCCAGGACCACCAGCTTGCCTTCACTAGCTCCCCATAAAACAATAAAGAATAAAAAAATACAATAGATAGAAAACAGAGATTGAAAGCGAGACCAGAGAAGAGTCCAAGTGCAAAAGGAGAGAGGAATCGGGTGTAAAAGAGGTGTGGTGCAAGAGGGGAGGAAGAGGAGAAGGAAAGGTCATTTTAGGTGGCAATGAGGACAAAACAGTAGTGTGGCAGTGGAAGACGCAGCAAAAGAGCATGTGGTCAATAAACAGGAAGTAGAACATAAAAAACAGCCCAGAGTGAGCAGTCTGTCCAGGGAAGGATATTAAGCAGGAAATCAGAGACCAAATTAATGATCAAATAATTTAATGAAGTGTGCTGCAAACAGTTGCAGTCTGTGTTTCACATCCTACAATCACGTTGATTATTTAATGATTCTTAATGGATGTGATATTCAGCAGTCTGTGTATGATCCTCCACACATTCACACACACACACACGCTGACAGAACACACACACACTGTCATTTGTCAAGTTATCTTACCTGCCTCCTCCGTTCTCTCCAGATTCACCTTTTCCTCTGAACATGCTAGGCGCGTTTCTCCACATATTTAAGATTTAATTAAGCCCCATTAAGGAGATCTGGACTAATTGTTTCTATTTGAGCAACAGAGTCTGGAGGTGTATGGTCGGTGTGTGCCGTCGCTTTCTGGGTCACTGCTCTCTAACTCTTCTCGTTTCATCTTCTCTATCCTGCTACAGCTGCTCTCCCAAATCCTCCTTTTTTCACAGCTTTGCCTCATCCCTAACCCCTTCTCTTAATTCTCCAGTTCCTTCATCGCCGCCTCCTTCCCTCCTCTCCTGTCACCCTCACCCACGGTCCTATAGCTTAAGTCCCAGACTGTGTTACAATATCTCTGCTGAGGAAAAATACGGGGCTGTCAAGCTGTGGAGAGATATTACACTAAACTTCGTAAATTCATCTTTTTGCACAGGGAGGTCCTTTCTCGCAGCACTCCAGAGTTTGTTTAATAATCTCCCTGTTGTACATCAACACCACTGCTTTCTGAGCATTTTAGGTCTGTCAACCCCCTTCAGATTAATACAAGTCACTGGCACCACTTGTCAAAAGTGGTCATTTTACAGTTGATACTGTCCACATTCTATTTGGGCTCTTTACACATCATTTCTCACATTTATACATAACCTTGGGCTGAATATATCAGTTACTTTTATGCTTTTTCAACATATTTATTATTAGATGTGTCAATAAATTATAGGAACTGAAGCAACTGTATTACTTTTCGACCATTATTAAATTTTTTCAATATTTTTGGCAAAAATAATCTCTCACAGTCATAAATTATTAGATATGACTTTTAGTAGCAAACATGGATTGAACAATATACACAAAGACTGCAACTTCCCTATACACAGTATGCGTGTTTACTTCACTGGAACTTCAGGGTAAATGCAGCGAAGGGGAAATTGATGGGCCCAGTCCCCTTAGCTGCCATGCCTCCATTTACAGTTTGTCCCTGTAAGGAATCTGCTAAAACACCAGCACATTGCTGCGTTGTGAGTTACAACATTAATTAGCGCAAAACGCGCCAACAACTCGTGTTGTCCTAAATGCTGCTTCTACGCCCCGTACGCATTTCCTATTTCCTACGTCAATGATTATATCATTTCTGACTGAATTACCACCAGTCAGCGGAGTTCCCACCCACCAACTGCACCGTGTCTTTTACCTCTGATCAGGTACTCAGAAGGTTCCTGAAAACGGCCCGGAAAATGTCCATTCGGCCGGCCCTGTCAAGTGGAGACATGCACATGTCAGGAGGGTCCGGTGAGTTTCCCCTGAAGTTCCGGTAATGGAAACACAGCTAATGGGATTTGGGAAAATCCAGTTAGGAACCATGTTTGGAGTTCTTTAGCTAATTGGGCCTGTGTCCAAACTGGCATTTTCATAACCTTTAAAATTTTTACATAATTTTTGTTAAAGTTTATTGGTTCTTGGGTGATTTTTGCTATATGTTCACCCTTATTTAGCACGAGGGACCTGGGGGAAAGGTCACGGACTCACTAGCAACTGACACAACACACATGCATTAACACACAAATCTTACAGAAACGCACACTCCACCCTATGGACTCTAAGCTTTCCTTGTACCCCATCCACCTCTTCCTCACACCCCTGAGTAGCAGAGATCAGAGGGCGCGCTGGATGGCTGCAAACTCTCTTAGTTGCAATGGGGATCCCTACCCCACCCACCCACCACTTGAGGCTTATGTGTGATTGCCTGAATTGCCTGAATATGTGCTTTTATGTTGAGGTATTTTCCTGCAAGCCAACTTTGTGCCCTGTCGGGGGCACGTTTTTTCACCCTTATCCCAACCAGCCCTCGTGTCACCCCTTTCCTTATCTAACTGTGGGAGCTGTAATAGCTGCTGCTGTTTTATTGTGGAAGGAGCTGCATGACTCTCAAGATCTAAAATAAAATCACATATCCCCCCCCCCCCCCCCCCCCCAAGCTGGCACAGCTGCACTGCATCAGCTGATCATCTAAGCTGCATAAAAGGCAGAGCTGCCAGAAGAATAGGGAGGGATCAGATCTGTGCCGTCTCCCCAACATGCTCCTTGTGTTTTATTGGCTTTAGATGGGTTTTAGTGAAGGAGCTCCGATTCTCTAAAAGTTTTTAGAATTTTAAACCAGGCAAGGGACCTGATGGGTGCTGGCTCCCTCCTGCTTCAAACATTTGAGTGTGGTCAGTGGACCTTGGATGTTTCTCAATGTCATGGCGCCTGGCCTTGAGATGTCTTGTGAGGCCAGGCGCCTTGCTTACGAGGACACTGTCCTTCCTTGGTCAAAGAAAACGGTTAAATGGAAAAGACTTACATCACGTAACATGTCACGTGATTTTATATTATATACATATGAGTTTTAATATAAATATATAACAAGCCTTTTACTTTTTAAGTTGTGTATACATATTTGTTACATTAAATATGTAAGCGAGTTACTACCTGCTAGCCACCGAAGCTGCAACTACTAAGCATAGATAACTTTTTTGGATATAAAACAAACACATTTTAGATATCAGCCCGATAGCTACAATTAGTTGACGTACATTTAACCTGGAAATTTGCCCCCAAAGTAGCTGCCATCCTTTCGAAAACACAGCGTTGTGTTCTGGGAAATTTTTGACCAAGGCCAGGGTACAATGCACCTCCCAATTATCCTTGCTCAGCTAGCTAAACAGCTAACAAACAGCGACCAGAAGCCTAGGTAGAACATGAACATTGGAACACGCCTTGGCGGCTCTTGATGGCGTATCTCCTAGGTAACCAGGGCGGGCCCAAGACATCATGGCAAGGTTCCTTGGTATTGAGAAACAGCCTTTATGTTTTAATTATAGGTTATCTACATAGTTGCCTGTTTTTAATGTGAAACCTGAGCCGATACAATGTTTATTTAAGGTACATTTTAGCATGGATGTAATTTTGGGGGGGGGGACGGGGGGGGACATGTCCCCCCCACTTTTTCCAAAGTCAAGTTTGGACCCCTGTACTTTTTACCATCCAAAAACAATATTACGCTATATTAAATTGACACTGGTTGAGCTCTAGGACCAAGCAGAAAACAACCGTTTGTGTTGAAGCCTGTTACCCATTAGAACGTACTGTAAAGACACCCCCCCCCCCCCCCGTGTCCCCCCCACTTCTAAAGTGAAAATGACGTCCATGCATTTTAGTACAAATGGAACACTGTGGATTTTAAATCCTTTCATATGAAAAATTTGTTATAATTTTACCATCCTGCACATGCCTTTTTTGTGTCCTTCATTTTAACACCACCAACTGGTCGTAACAGGAGTGCCGCAGTGGCTGCATGCCCACAGTCCAGTTTCCTGTTAACATGTTTTTCCTGCATGTCTGATCTTGGAAACGTTGTGCTGAAATAATTTTTCATTGTACCAAGACAGTGGTTTAACGACAAATGAAGTCAGTTCGTTCGTTCGTTTGTTCGTTCCTTCCTTCCTTCCTTCCTTCCTTCCTTCCTTCCTCCCTCCCTCCCTCACTCACTCACTCACTCACTCATGGGCTTGTATTTGTCTCTTATGGGTGTGTGGTTTCCATTGTGACCTCAATGGATTCCTGCTTTTGATCCTCATTAGATTTCTGGTTTACACAACAAAACATAAATTTATATCATAGCTTAGATTAACACAAAAACTCCTGAGTGCTAATGGGACACATAAATTAAATTATTTAGAACTTTTCTCATCTAGTATTTTTCTATACTAGCTTCCACACAGACTTACTAAACTATGTGTTTAGAAAACTCAGATCCTTTGCTAGATTGTTTTACTTGAAAAACTTTTTTCTGTTTTGACAGCTCATCAGAACACATCAGCTTAACATATTTATATTTTTGGTTTAATGAATGCAGTCTTTTGATTTCGATTGGACTACGTCTACATAAAGATTAAGTGTAATGTTTATGAGCCACAACCCTTTGAAATAAAGCCTTTTCTTTTCAAAGATGCCCAAATGAAATAGGACAATTGATTTTAAAAGCCGCTTTATGGGCAGTGAAAGGCTATTTCTTCATTATGTTCCTCATCACTTAAGCAAGTAAAAGGCTTGGAGCTGGATGGGATGTGTTTATTTGGACACTGCTTGTGTAAACCTGCAATTTGTAATTAACAAGCTCTCAAAATAGACCACACTTGATCAGCAAAGGAAGAAAATAAAAAAGGAAAAGACTGAAAAAAGAACTGGAAATGTGGCCAAATCAACAGCGGCAGGAAAAAGGTCTGGTGGGTGATCACAGGATCTTTTCCAGGGGAAGGAAAAAGCTCTTAACAACAGCCAGCCAAGTGAAAATCCGTCTCCAGGAAGTGGACGTATCACTGTCCACAAGAACAGAGAAGCCAGATTCGAGTTAAATGAAAAACACAAACTCATTCTGGAACATTGTCCTTGCATAGATAAACCCTATCAACTTGGACCAAAATGGTGGGTTTTAAAATA